CAGTGAAAAATGAGTTTTAAAAAATAAAACTGGGCTCATGAAACATTTTAGGAGTGACATGGTGACTTAGGCGCCTGCAGGTTCTGCGCTGCCTGAAACGGCAGTGTGGGACTTGCGTCTGCTTACTGCCTCTCCCTCAGCCACCCTACAGCTGAGGGGGAGGCGGCAGAGAGGCTCACCCCGCCCCCAGCTGCAGGACACGCCCCCGCACCAGGCACCCGAGCGGCTAGCTACGCCACTGGCATCAACACAGTCTGGCCCTGTCAGGGGCTGAACAGATGCGTGCCATATTTTTCGCTCTATAAGACACACTTTTTCCCTCCTAAAAATTAAGGGGTGCGTCTTATGGAGCGAATGCAGGCTGCACAGCTATCCCAGAAGCCAGAACAGCAAGAGGGATTGCTGCTTTCATTGTGCAGCAATCCCTCTTGCTGTTCTGACTTTGCTTTGCTGGAGAGGCGCTGCGCAGAGAGGGAGAGATTTTTCTTGTCTTGTTCTCCTCCTCTAAAACTAGGTGCGTCTTATAGAGTGAAAAATATGGTACTTTCCCTTACGCACTGCAGTGCTCTCCCTAAGCATGTTGCTGTGCAATTATCTGTCAAGCCTGGATTTTTTTTAGAAAGTAACTCTTCCCCTCTTCATGGTGTGGAGCTGAACTTAGTCAACCCAAGTTCACAGAAAGTAGAGGATTAGCATTGTTAGACAGCAGCTTGTAAAAGATTCCCCATGTTTTCAGCAGGAATGAGAAGCTGAAGGCATGTTTGGGGTATGAACAGGACCAGAAACAAAGGACCCCCGTAAAAGCCAGCTTAAGATCCTGTTTAGTATCAGGCTTGCAACGTCTTGAAGTCAAGATCGCAGTGCAGCCCCTGTCCTGCCTAGGGCTTTCTGGTGCTATAATACAGCACGTTTTTTAGTAATCAAAAGTCAAACGAAAAGAAGAAAAATAACTTTAGCTGCCTCCAAATTCCATTTCATTGAAGTAGGAATGTTTCCCCTCACTTTTATTGGCTATTATGTCCAAACTGGCTTCACATTTTCCATAAGGGAAGTCACTTTTTTCCTATTAAATTGAACAGTACCTGTTCACAATTCTTGGCCTTTTCTACTCTCCAAGTCACAATTTGTTAAAGTGCAGGACAGACACCTCCACTGTGATAACTAAAGGGGTAACTGCCAAAACAAAATAAAAACCCAAATAGTGATAGACAAAATCATCTGAAAATGAATTTTGTTTATTTTAAAATATTTGCTTTAAAATAAGCAATGTATTTTGCTCCCTTTGGTCTTTGATTGCTAGAATATTTGCACAAGCTTCAAATAATTTTCCCTGTAGAATTCACATCCCTTTGCTGCTTATTCTCCTCCTGAAATGAACACCATATAAATGGCATCCAGGAACAATAATGATCTCTTCAGGCATAAGGAAAGCAGCATGAATAAATAAATTAAATTAATAAATAAATTACACGTGGACAAAAAATGGCTTTACTTAGGGTAAGGCCCCATTAACAAACTGAGACTTGCATCTGAGTAAACCAGGGGTCAGCAAACTTTTTCAGCAGGGGGCCAGTCCACTGTCCCTCAGACCTTGTGGGGGGCCGGACTATATATAATTTTTTGGGGGTGGGGAATGAAAGAATTCCTATGCCCCACAAATAACCCAGAGATGCATTTTAAATAAAAGGGCACATTCTACTCATGTAAAAACACTGATACCTGGACCGTCCACGGGCTGGACTGAGAAGGCGATTGGGCCAGATCCGGCACCCGGGCCTTAGTTTGCCTACCCATGGAGTAAACCTTCATGGGTTTGGTCTTGAGTTTTTCATAGGATTAAATTCACTATTTTCTCTTTGAGCGTCTGGGCTTTGACCTGTATCTCAATACTGTGCAAGCAGAGTTCTGCTTGTGCAAAAGGACTTTCCTCTCTTCTACTCTCCCTGTGCCCCCGATCTTCTCCAGAGGGTTCCCCAAACCTCTGGAGAATATTTTGAGAGTGCTTGGCAGGCTGCAGGAGAAGAGAGGGGAGTTGTGCAGAACAGCAGCACTGGATACAACCTTTACTCTTGAATGTGGAAATTAGGGGTGTACCATTGAAGCAGTTTCATTATTGGTATTTATGCCTTGGTTGAGTATACAATAAAAGTTTTTTCCCAAAGCTGCACCCTGTTTTGGAAATAGCTGCTACGACATAGCCATGTAGCCTTGACAGTCCTCTGTCTGCTAACAAATGTTTACAGTGCTGGAAAATGGTTTCTGGCATTATGACCAGAGTTGTAGAATATGGAACAGATGAAGATAAATGTGAGAGCCAGGCAGTAACACAGACTCGGCAGATGTGTGCAGAAAGTAATGGTGTGGTGGCAACAAGAGCTTCAGATGTGTCACAGTTAATTCATCTTCAAACCAGATTGTAGCGCTCCAAATGTTTTGAGCAGCGTGGAAGGGAAAGTAACAATCTTGCTCTGCCCCCAGAGTACAAGTGCATCAGAAATTTTGCAAACTGTGTCTGGAAAGGTTAAATAAGTTACTTTTTTAAAAAAACAAAAATAAAGATTATCAGGTTTTGTCGCTTGAGCTTTCACGGGACAGCAGACTGTTACAGAACCATAACATATTTTGAAAATATAATCACTCTGTATATTATTTTTCTCCAATCTAGCAGCAATAGTAGAGTTTAAATGCTACTGTTGTATACCTGAGCCTCTATACAATTAAAAAAACACACAGTAAGCACTCAGCTTAAGAGTTTTAAAGCGGCGCAGAGTGCCTTCCATCAGCTTGGGATGGTGGCCCTATTGTGCCCCTATGTTGCCTATATTCTGGTAGCCTCTAGCTTAGACTACTGCAATGTGTTATACATAGGGCTGCCTCTGATGAGTGTTCAGAAGCTTCAGCTGGCACAAAATTCAGTGGCCAGGTTGCTCACGGGGGCAAGACGGTTTGAGCATATTGCACTAATCCTGGCCCCCCTTCACTGGCTGCCAGTTAGTTTCTGGGCCCAATTCAAATGTGTTTGTGGGAGGTGAGGGGGTATTGATTTATTAATTTTTAAATGTGTTTTTATCTTGTGTTTTTATGTTGTGAACTGACCTGAGATCTATGAATGAAGGGCGGCATACAAATTTAATAAATAAAAGAAAGTATGTAAAAAAAAAAAAAGCTTTTAAAAGGAGAAAGCACTGGAAAAAACCCCATCCTATTTTAGCAAGTAAACTGACCCAGGCACTTGAGGAAGAATAAATACTTCAAAGCAGATAGCCTTGCATAAAGCATAACAGAAGAAAGGAGAAATGAACAAATAAACAGAGACAACCTGGATAGGCAGAGCGGCCACCGAGACCACATAACACTGGTCTTAAAAGATCTACATTGGCTCCCAGTATGTTTCCAAGCACAATTCAAAGTGTTGGTGCTGATCTTTAAAGCCCTAAACAGCCTCGGTCCTGTATACCTGAAGGAGCATCTCCACCCCCATCATTCTGCCCGGACACTGAGGTCCAGCGCCGAGGGCCTTCTGGCGGTTCCCTGACTGTGAGAAGCAAAGCTACAGGGAACCAGGCAGAGGGCCTTCTCGGTAGTGGCACCCACCCTGTGCAACGCCCTCCCACCAGATGTCAAAGAGAACAGCAACTATCAGACTTTTAGAAGACATCTGAAGGCAGCCCTGTTTAGGGAAGCTTTTAATGTTTGATGTATCACAGTATTTTAATATTTTGTTGGAAGCCGCCCAGAGGGGCTAGGGAAGCCCAGCCAGATGGGCAGGGTATAAATAAAGAAGAAGAAGAAGAAGAAGAAGAAGAAGAAGAAGAAGAAGAAGAAGAAGAAGAAGCCAAACCCCCATGATGTTGGAGGAATAGCAGAAGCATCACCCTGTTGGCACCAACCCTGCCCCTTCTGCCCCCTGGAAGTATTCAGGAAAAACCACTGGAATGAGTCAGCAAAAAAGCTGAGCCGGCCTAGTATCGACCAGATCATGAGTTGGTTTCAATGGCGTTGGGCTGAGTCATTCTTTCCCTGCCCCTGCCTTCCACTGCAGCTGCTGTGAGCAGGAGAGCTACAGATGTGGTGGCTGCCTTGTCACGCCACAAAGACACCCAAGTGGGAGTGTGGTTTGGCTTCCCCCCTCGATCCTCAGGCTGTGCATGCCTTTGCAGGTGGGAGCAGAACTCAATATGCAGCCAAATCCCATTTCTTTGCAACTCCCATCCCTGAGGTTTTGCAGCCCACTGTGCAGCTGGAGGGTTTCTTTTCACTTAAGAATAAAATGGCTCTTTAAGCAGCTTTCACCCAGCACAACTTATAAAAAGTGGTGCTTGCTCCGATTATTGGTTTTCAAACTTGTGATGGATGAAGCTGCTTATAGTCCACTTTGCTCTCGGTGTTAGGCGATGAGGCAGCTTCCAAGCCACTTGAAGGAAAACCATTTACCAGAGACCCTGGCAGGATGAGTGGGCACAGAACAGCAAGGGCAAAAGTATTCTGCCATTCCACCTTTAGTTCCCCGAAAAACTATAAAATCTGGCTTCCGCCTCATCTCTGTTGATGTTGTCTCAACCTACAAAACCACACAAAGAAGACATTCATCACTTCTTTGTGTTTGTGTAAGTGAAGGAGCCATAGAAATGTCTGCTGGTTTTAAGTTATTGGTCCAGAAGCTGTGAAGTACTGTTGCGTAAACAGGAATGCAAAGAAGCAAAGGGAGCAGGCCAACACTAATGGGGAGTCTAAGAAAACAGGAAGAACATAACTTTCCCTGTTAGCTAGCTCAGTCACTGGGTACAGAGCATAATGAATATAGATGTTATTTGTGAACCGTACGCAAGGCAGGATGGGGATGGGGAGAGATGCAGAACAAATAGCAGCCTTAGTTTCTGACGAAGAGTAAAGTTTTGAGTAAACAGGTGCATGTAATATCAAGCAAAAGATCTCAGTGGTGGTTTCTTTTACAGTGTTATGCTAATCATCTTTCCATTGGGTGACAAAATTCTTCTAAAAGAACAAAGATAGAAATGACTTGGAGGAAACATCAAAGTTGCAGTTCTTCTTCCAAAAGGCCAAAGATTGGAGTGGGTTGTGTGTATGTCTTAGTTTTGTTGTTGTTGTCGTCCAAACTAGCACTTCTTTACAACTTACTGCAAACAATATTACAAGTGAACATTCTGATTTGTGTCTCTGGGGTGTGCGCGCACACTGCCATAAAATACTAAAACAGCGCTGGGTGTGTGTGAGGGGAATGGAAGCCCATTTGAGAAAATGCAGGGGTGCCATTGTTTTAGGACAGAATGTCTGATTCTCAGGAATAAATAACTAAGCAAATGGCAGAGAAACAGGTGCAGTAGTTCTCTTGCAAGAGAAATTAAGCCAAGGATAAGATAAGGCCAGGGGTGAAGACTTGTCCTCCACATTGAGGGGGCGTGGTCACGTGACATGTCAGGTGATGCCACTGGCATGTGCCAGGTGGTGGTGGTGGGATGTGAGGAGGGTGATCTCCATGCTTGCTCGTCCCTGCCACAGCCCAGCTCCTGGGCTGCCAGGCTGCCACTGTGACAAGCAAGCATGGAGATTGCCCTCCATGCTTGTCCCAGCTGCCGCCTGGCTCTGGGGTGCATGGAGGTGCCTGGTGGCAGCAGGGGGTGGCAGCCCCCTCAATATTGGGGAAAGCACTGCCCCCTGCCCCAAAATATTGGGGGAGCTGAAGCCCCTTCGGCCCCATGTTGGTTCCTCTGGATAAAGAGTTACAACTAAACTAGCATAGATAATGATGCAGACTCAGAAAACATCTAGAACTGAAAACACAAAATATGGTGCAAATATAGCTGACTGAAACACTCTGTTTAACTTTACAGTGGTACCTCGGGTTAAGTGCTTAATTCGTTCTGGAGGTCTGTACTTAACCTGAAACTGTTCTTAACCTGAAGCACCACTTTACCTAATGGGGCCTCCCGCTGCCACTGCGCTGCCGGAGCACAATTTCTGTTCTCCTCCCGAAGCAAAGTTCTTAACCTGAAGCACTATTTCTGGGTTAGCGGAGTCTGTAACCTGAAGCGTATGTAACCTGAAGCATATGTAACCCGAGGTACCACTGTAATTGAAAGGTTTCTCTTTGTGCCCCTCTAGTAGGAAACGCATACAGTTCAGCATTATGAACAAACTTTGCTCATCCCTAACTCTAAATCCTTAATAAGTTAAAAAGCATTGGTTCCAATACTGATCCTTGGGGAACTCATTCCTCCAACGGAGAGCTATCCATTTATTCCTACTCTCTGCTTCCTGTTTCTTAATCGGTTGCTATCCCACGACACAAGTGGTCTACAGCAATATCCAGAAGCAAAATTTTTATTTCCAGCAAGAACAGAGAGATACTGCCTGTACAGTGTACAAGTAGTGCCAAAATATACTTGTTTCCCTCATCTGCAAGAAATTAAGGAACATTAAATGCACCCTGAAATCTGCTGTTCATCATTCTGCCTAAACACACACACACACACACACACACACACACACACACATTCCTTTAAGATGAGAACATGAATGAGCATCTGCTTGCAATCATATTTCTTTCCCTTTTGAAATGCTGTCCTGCTGCCTGAGCAGAAATGCGATTCTTCCGAATTCATCCGCAAAGTGCTTTGTGGAGCTTTTTCTGCAAAGGGTTGGATTTCTGCAAAATGGAATAAATATGTCCTTCATACATTGGTCCTAGTGGTTAAAAAAAAAAATGTAATACTCCCCCCTGCCTATTACCCAGTTTCTTATTTCTTTCAGAAGTCCAAGGTGTCCTTCAAAAAAGAGTCACTTCTTCTGGCCAAGCACGAAGGCAGGAAGCCGCTTACTGGAAAGGTAATTTTATTAAATAAGAGTATGTGTTTACTATAGGAATGGGATTAAAAAAAACCCACAACAACAGCAATTTGAATTTAGATAGAGAAAGAGAAAAATTGACTGCTTTATATTATTGTACCGAAAGGTCAGATGCAGGCTGATTGTAGGAACTGTGGTTTAAATGTCATGGACTTGTAGTATTTTATTTGCTCAGGAAAATATAGCTTGTGACAGAGGTTTCTTTTAGTTCATTCTGTATACATTATCTACAGTCCTCCCCCTACTCGCATAACATTTGCCCTATTCAATGTGATTTTACTCCAAACTGCTCTAGCTCCTTTATATATAGATCAGCCTCTGAACAGGGGCTAGAAATTATATAGCAGCAAAATTAACTCATTTTAAATAGCTGAAAAACTGTTCGCTGTTATTATGTAATCTAAATATGAAGCACATTATTAAGTAGCATTGTTTACATTAGTAACTGAAGACTTTTCTTGGGCCCAATCCAAAGGACCTTGCTTAATTAAAGGCTTCAATCCTATACACACAGTGGTAAGAGTCGCGGAACATTATCCAAGGCAATTCCAAATATGCATAGGGTTCTGCATGATTGAAAACCCTTCCCCCCCCCCCGCTCTCCTTAACTTTAGTAGGGGTTTCATGAGTTCTGGGTACCTTTTATCTGATATCAGTTGTAGGTGTAAATACACTTTTTAATCTTTAAGGGCTGATACTGTTTTGGTTTTTTAAAATTCTCCTCAGATGCCAGACAGGTTCCCACAACAACAAATCATTCCTCTTTAGGAAGGCATTTTGGACATAAGCGGTTGCTCTCTTTTTTATTTTTTTCAATGGTTGTGCTTACATCTAGATTCTTATGCACACTTTACCTTTCCCGTACCGCAGAGTCTTGCTATCCAATAATTTTTTCCCTCAGTTTCACATTTAATTTGTCTCTGGAAAAGTAGAAAAAAAAACTTTTTACATGTGGCATTTACTGATGAACAAAAATGTGATATGGTTGGGTGGATTTTAAGCTTCGTTCAATCTGATTTTGTGGTCCAAGCTAAAAGTAAAATTTAAAAACTGTCTAAACCAAAAAGGAAGGAAGGGAGGGAGGGAGAGGAAAAGCAGAACTAGACAATGCAGCTAAGGAAGATTTACATGTGGTTTAGATACTCTCTTAACACTGTTTATTTTAAACGAAATAGTTATTCACCCTTAACATTAGCACTGTTTAGCTATGCTTGTGTTTGGAATTCTGCACAGTGAGTTAGTGTATCTGGAAAGAAGCAGATTTTTAGTAAACAATTAAGGGCCTCTTTGGAAATACTGTAATCTGTTTCAGCAGGGGTGTGTGTGTGTGTGTGTGTGTGTGTGTGTGTGTGTGAGAGAGAGAGAGAGAGAGAGAGAGAGAGAGAGAGAGAGGAGACTACCTTACTAGCCTAAGGCTCAAGGGGTAAACTTTTGTTCTTGAGAAATATTTCTTTCACAGACTAAATTCTAGAGGACACAGTCATCTTGCTAGAAACTTGACTTACCACAGGGTTGAATGGCACTATTCAGCGGGAAGAAATTCTGATGAAAATCCTCCCTATTACATATTTTACATGGCTGTTTATGTCAACAGTGGTACCTCAGGTTACATACGCTTCAGGTTACATACGCTTCAGGTTACATACGCTTCAGGTTACAGACTCTGCTAACCCAGAAATAGTGCTTCAGGTTAAGAACTTTGCTTCAGGATGAGAACAGAAATTGTGCTCCAGCGGTGCTGCAGCAGCAGGAGGCCCCTTTAGCTAAAGTGGTGCTTCAGGTTAAGAACAGACCTCCGGAACGAATTAAGTACTTAACCTGAGGTACCACTGTATATGTTTTAAAATTATACATATGGATGTTTCATGATGGCCTATACTTGCAATGCCTAGTTAAGGTTTGGTGAAGTACCAGGAAGTAAGACTTACCACAGGGAAGGAGAAAAGGCTGACTGAGGTACACTGCAGAAACCACAAATAAACAGAGTTGGCAATATCCTGTGCCTTTTGCAGTGAGGCTCTGGAGGTGTCTTCTGCCAGTGTGTGGCTCTGGTTGCCTGTCACATCCCCTAACCACCTCCTTTTACCTGCTTGTGAAAAGTCGCTTTCCTTTCCCAGGTGAGTCTCTGCAGGCTTTCCTGCTCAGAGAGCAATGTGGGCGCTGTATCCTCCCTTTTCTGTGTTGTGCTCATGAGGAACACGAGAGGATTCAAATTCCTGTCTGGATATGCCAGGGAACTGGTAGTATTGAGCTTCTTGATGCCTCTACCACTGTCTGATGGAGGGGAGACCCTGCTGTTACCTTGAGCGCTGTGTGTGCAAAGATGCAAAGCTGTGCTGGGCACGATGAGATTGTTGGCTCCTTCAGGCACAGTCCTTGATTTGCAGGCTTTATTTTTAAGGCTGCAGGGAGCATGCTTGCCATTTTGTTGTTGTTGTTGTTGTGTATGCTCCCCCTCCCTCCTCAAGTTGAGCGCACAAGGGCTGAACTTCCCTCAGGAGGAGTTCAAATCCCACTATGCTGAAAAGTGTGGGTGCTCTGTTTTCCAAGAAGGTACCTGGGGACAGCATCACGGAGAAAGCTTTGTGTAGCTCAGTTACAAAGCCATATAAATTTGTGTATATGCAAAATGCCAGGTCAGTGTACAGACATGCCCTGATGCTTCTCATACTACAAGAGAAAAGTCTCTCGAAGCCATTTTTACCAAAATCATCTTTGAACTTCTCTTGCACTGTTGAAATGCCCTTACTGTAAAGGTAAAGGGACCCCTGACCATTTGGTCCAGTCGCGGACGACTCTGGGGTTGTGGCGCTCATCTCACTTTATTGGCTGAGGGAGCTGGTGTACAGCTTCTGGGTCATGTGGCCAGCATGACTAAGCCACTTCTCTGGCAAACCAGAGCAGCACATGGAAACACCATTTACCTTCCCGCCAGAGTGGTACCTATTTATCTACTTGTACTTTGACATGCTTTCGAACTGCTAGGTTGGCAGAAGCAGGGACTGAGTAATGGGAGCTCAACCCGTTGCAGGCATTCAAACTGCCGACCTTCTGATTGGCAAGCCCTAGGCTCTGTGATTTAACCCACAGCGCCACCCACGTCCTGACCTTACTGTACCTCCATCCAAAAGAGAAGAGCTGTAGGGCCGCCATCTGTTCTGCTGAGAAGCCAGGCTCCTCCTTCCACCTCCTGGCATCACATCAGTCTGTAATAAAAAAAGAAAAGGTGTGCAGAGCTGCTCTGTCGATTTAGCTGGGAGGCCACCAGCTTCTGGCTCCTCCTCCTCCTCCTGAACTTCTCCGCCCCCAACTGTTCACTAGAAGAATTTGCAAGGAAAAATACTTCCTGCTCCCTCCCAAGCCAATCATTTGCTGCTGCTGTCGCATCAAACCTGAGGGAAGGATGGTCTGCAAGCCTTTTGGGGTGAAGACTGAGATCACTTGGTTGTTGTTGTTTTTTAATCATTTCATTTGCACAAAGATTCTTTGCACATGTCAAAAAGGTTTGTAAAAAGGATGAAAACTAAGTCAAATGTCCTGCCAGGGAAATCCCTCCCCCCCTCCAACATGGTTCACAGTATAAATGATCAGTGATTTTTTTAAAGCATTTTTAAAAAAAGTCTTCTTACTGGAACATTTCCGTATCTAATATGTAAAGTCTGTCCAAATTGCTCATATAGTGGCCTCTTGGGTACCACAGTTTTACTCTATATTAATGTGGTGTTCACGGCAGAGAATGAGTGCTTTGTACTTGCCCGACTGAGAGGATTTTTGCGCATTCCATTCTATTGCCCCCAATTTACAAAGTGATTACCCACACCAAATTACACTGTCGCACATGCTGTCACATACTTGATACGAAAATATGTGCTAATCAGCAGCAGAAGATACTTCTGCAAAAGCATTCATGTTTCAGAATGCTCAATTGGGGCGGGGGGGGGGGAGAAAGTACGTAATCTCCTCTGACAGCTTCTCTTCACATCATCACCATGCAGTTAACTGGTGCTGAATCTTTGCACGCTGAATAAACTCCCCGGCTGCAACTCTGTTCTCTGGCATTCCTTTGTGCATCCCCATCAGGACAAGAGTCAGAGACAGGAATGAAATGGGAAGCGCTTCAGTGTAGGCAAAGCTATCATTTTCCGGGCAATTACCCTAGTCTGGTCCTACCTTGCTTTGTGTATTAGATCCAAAACTTAATGCAGCTTCACAAATGCTTTATTAAGTAGAGGCTTCCATTTATCAGGGGAGAATGCATCCTAAGGGAAACATGCTTGCAGAACTGAAGGGTTTTAAAGATAATTAGAATGAGGCTATAGAATCTAGTGGGACGCGGTGGCGCTGTGGTTAAACCACAGAGCTAGGACTTGCCGATCAGAAGGTGCAAGTAGATAAATAGGTACCGCTCCGGCGGGAAGGTAAACAGCATTTCCGTGCGCTGCTCTGGTTCGCCAGAAGCGGCTTAGTCATGCTGGCCACATGCTGTACGCCGGCTCCCTTGGCCAATAAAGCGAGATGAGCGTCACAACCCCAGAGTCGGCCACGACTGGACCTAATGGTCAGGGGTCCCTTTACCTTTACCTAATAGAGTCTAGTACAGGCATCCCCAAATTCGGCTCTCCAGGTGTTTTGGGACTACAACTCCCATCACCCCTAGCTAACAGGCTCAGTGGTCAGGGATGATGGGAATTGTAGTCCCAAAACATCTGGAGGGCCGAGTTTGGGGATTACTGATCTCATATATATTATTTCCCTCCTCTTCAGTAGTAGGAAAACTTCCTTCAATCCGTCGCCCCCCCCCTCCACCCCACCAAACCAGGAACAATGCGGTCCATGAGATCTGCAAACTGTCCAGCAAAATTGAAACAATTGCTGCTCCCATACTGAGCGTTCCTGCCAGTTTAAATTGACAGGCAGCACTGTGTTCTCTGCACCATCTGGCTGAGAAGTTGCATTTCCTGGGGCAGATTCCAGGCCCT